GTCGGCGCGGCTGGGGATGTGGACTGACCGCCGGCGCGGGTGCAGACCCCGCTGGGGTGCTCGCAGGGAGGTGTGCCTTTCCCAGCCTTGCGCTCGCGTTACGCCGTGGGAGGTAATCGAGCAGGAAACACTTCAGAAGCACAGGGTGGTTGGGGCGGAGGGTGAGATGAAGCCCGCTGCAGCCCAGCTTCGGTGGGTTGCTCTCCTCTGGGTTTGCAGACACTTCAGGAACAGAAACAGCTGCCCTAAATCGGGGGCTGCGGTGTGAGATTTGGGAGTTCATCTCTCTGGCCCCTGTTCTGCCTATTTTCAGCTCAGTGTAGCTGAGAACATGGTTCTGTGTCACCTGCAGGCGTGAAATGAGGTGTTGGCGCTAATTGGAGCGAGGATAAATAAGCGGTTAATCCACCCGCAGCCCCAACGCCCACCAGCTCCCGCGCTGCCTCCCGCATCGCCTCCCGCGTCCCCGTAACGCCTTTCCTGCCGCAGCGGGAGGAGAGGGTGCCGGGGACGAGCCCGCACGAGCTGGAGACGGAGAAACGTGGGGGCAGGACGACCAAGAGTCGTTGCTGGCTCCGTCCCCACCAGACTTCTTTTGCTTTGCTGAGCAGAAAACCTACAGAGCATGCAGGACCTCTGGTTCAGCTGGGTGCTAACACTGGCATGTTTGGCGAGTGCTGCTGTGCTCCCGCAGAGCTGTTAGAACTTGCTGTGTCTTTGTTTTTTATTTCCGTTTTATTCTCTTTTTTTTTTTTTTTAAGGTGAAGCTGTCTGGCCAGCTCCAGCAAAGCCTTTGCGACTTACGGCTTAGGAAAGATGGAGACCTTTGTGTCACAACAGGAACAGGATTTGTTTGTAAAGTATGTGGGTGTTGAAAGGTCTGGTTTATAAAGGAAAAAAGAAAAGAAAAAAAAAAAGAAAAAGTCTGCCAGGGCTAAGATTGCTTCTGTCTCTGTTGTGGTTACAGCCAAACAGAGCGGGTTTTCTGGTAGGCAATTTCATTGCTTAATTACTGTTCAATCACATCCGCAGTTCAGGGCGCAGATTCCTTCATGGGCAGGAGCTGTTTCAGCAAGCAAAGCAGTGCTGGGCTATTTCTGAGCGCTGCTAGAATTTTGTTGGGTGATTCGTTTTTTTTTTCATATCGAAGCTAGATGCGTAAGCAAAAGCATGATGGATGGGAGGTGAGCTGTGAGGGGTAATGTGCTGGAAGTTGAAGCTCCTTGAGACAAAAGCTGTCTTTGTGCGTGTATGACGCTTGAACGCACAGTTGTCAGTTAAACAGTAATAAGCATTACACCGTTTTGCCCAGATCTGTCCCTGCGTATTGCTTAGCGGGGCTTTCTAGGGCTTGGATTTGAAGATGGTGGGTTTGCATGCTTTCTTTAATGAAACTGGGTAATCTCATGGTGGTTTTCCATGAGACGTTCCCGTCGGCGTCGGCAGCTCCTGGCGGTCGTTGATGCGTAGTAGACGACTGATCTGACGGTCTCCTCGCTGGCTGCTGGGAGAAGAGAGCGAGCACCTGCGTTGGGTTTTGAGGCGATTGAATACCTTCCTGCACCTTGCAATACTTCCACCCCTTTGTCGTCCGTACCCGGGTGCTTCGGCTTGCTCCCCCGTCGGGAAGCCACAGGTCTCTGCAGAGAGAGCTCCACCAGCCTGGTGCGTGTTGGATTCAGAAGGGGCACAGTGGCTTTCCTGGCAAATCACGGAACCATTAAGGTTGGAAAAGACCTTTAAGAACATCAAGTCCAACCACCAACCCAACACCACCATGCCCACTAAACCATGTCCTGATGTGCCATGAATACACGTTTTTTGAACACCTCCAGTGATGGTGACTCGTCGGAGCTACTCAGCCCGGCCACGAGGAGCCCCTCTTCATGGTAGCAGCTTTTCTTCTGCTGTGTGCTCATCCCTGCTTACCCCTTAATATCTGTAAAAAACCACCAGCTCCTTCACACATATTCCTGCTTCCCATGGAGCAGGACCTGCCTACGTGCTGGGTCCTGCTGGTTGAGCACATCGTGTGTTAAACCTGTTCCTGTTCATGGGGCAATTCATACACGTGTTCAGTTCTAGCAGGTCCTTTGAATGCTGCATCTAGCAGAGTTCCCCAAACCTCGGGAGAAATCAAATATCTCCACAGAGAAGAACAGTCTAAGTAGGGATGGAGTAGAAATGCACCCTCTGTGATCCAGGGTGGAGCAGACACGCGTTCTGTCTCTTGCCTCCTCTGCCCAGCCCCTCACCTTCTGACTTTTTTTGACTTGACTCCTTCTGCTTAATAATTTAAAAATGCTTCCCAGAGCTCTCTCTGCCGAGCATCTTGCTATCACCTTTCTTTTTCCAATCTCTCCTTCCCCTGTAGAAACCAACCTTGCAAAGGGTTTCAGTTTCCAGAGAGACGGAAGTAAAAATAATGTGGAGAAAATGAACTTCTGTTTTATTTCTCTGAACCTCAGTTCACTCCAAGTGGGATGTCAGGTTTCTGCCACATAATTCTGGTTGGGATGCTTCTGTGCTAGGCCTGGATTTGCCTGCAAGAAAACAAGATTTTGTTCTCTCGGTCTTCTCGCAGAGCATAGTACAAATAACTATGCCCAGTGGGCGTGAAGTGAGTGGGAAACCTCAGGGAAAACCACAACTCATTTATGGCTTAAATGAAAATTGAAAAAAAAAGAGTTGAAAACAAGATGTGTGAGATTTCAAATTTTATCTTTTATAAACAACGGTTGTTGCCTGTGGACAAATGAATGTAACAGAGGGATTTAATCTTTGTAAACAAGAGACAAATGCATCAAAATAGACCCTCGGGCGTACGGCAGGGCTTTAAATTTGACCTGGCGTAGGAGAAGCGGCGAAGAAGAGGCTGAAACAACTTGGGCACCGCTAAGAGTTTTATTGGCACCAGGAGCACTTTGAAAAAGACAAATGGGGGGATTTGAGGCTTTTGCTTTTTGTGTTTGTGTTTTATTAGAGCCATCGTTTTCCAGCAGGCGTTTGCCTGCCCAGGTGGGTATTTGGGAGCGCCTGCACTGTGTTTCTGGGGCT